CACGTACGCGCTTTCGTCGAGCGCGCTTTAGTCTACCGCGGTTTTGTGGTGGAACCGAATTATCATTATATACACTATGAGTGAGATGGGTGGAATCTTATTTGATTAAAAAAAATGATATTGCTCCTTTCCATATAGCTAACACAATTACACCCCGACTGTATATTTAATCATTTCTCCCACTGTCACATTGCAAGTTGTTACTTAATAGTGGAAGCTCTAGGAGGGGAAGGCTTATGCCCAGGATTTTTGGGTGGTTTCATATAGAGGCTCTAGAACAGGGGTATCAAACTCAAAGCCCGTGGGCCAGATCCGGGCTGGGGGGGGTTTTGCTTAAATCCAGCGTGCGGGACTAGCCTGGAAATATGAAATGACCGACCCGTGGTGCCTCTGCTGGCTAAAACAAGCCATGTTTTTGGCCAGCAGAGTGCTGCTGGAGGCCAGGGAGGCTGAAAACAGGCTTCAAGACTCGTTTTCAGCCTGTTTTCTGCCTGGCAGTGTGCTGCAGGAGGCCATTGAGGCTGAAAACTGGGCAGAGGGGTCCTGCATGGCTCCCCTGTCCCCTATTTTGGCCGGCAGGGTACTGCAAGTGGTGTCCATCCCATTCCCCCCCCTCATGCTCCCCACCACCCTCCACCCCTGCTACTGGCCTGTGGAAGAGAACTACAATGCTGATCCGGTCCTTGAAGAAATCCAGTTTGACATTCCTGGTCTAGAACCTCTGGTTACTCGACTCAGCCTAGAAATTGCTGTCCTAAGAAAGATGCCCGCGTTGCTTTCCTAACAGCAACCTGCATTTCCTTCCAGCTTTTCTAGGGTGAAGTTGATGAGGTATTTATTGGACCTCAGAGCAACCCATTCTGGCTGCATTAAATAGCTCTTGGCTGTAAGTGTGATGTCAGGAGGAGAAAGTGTCTACCTCTGTACAAAAGAGAAAGACAGATGGTTGCAAAGTAACTGCTAGGGGATACATATTGGATGTGAACAGCACAAACAATTATGAAGAGTGTACGTTGGGAAGACGGTTTGGAAATACCCATTCTGTGGTGGGACAGGGAGGCTACGAGTGATAGTTAGGGTTTGGAAGATGTTTTGGTTGAGCTACATTTCTTAAACCGAAATCAAATGGAACATTATCTTCCCTGCCTGTACCCTACCTTAAACGTGTGTAGAATTTGGAATAACTGTTGTAAGAAGAAAACAAGAGGTTTCAATTTTTAGAGTAGCAAACCTTGGGGTATATAGAAATGGATAAAACCAACTCCTTCCTTCCTTCCTTCCTTCCTTCCTTCCTTCCTTCCTTCTTTCCTTCCTTCCTTCCTTTCTTCCTTCCTATAATGCTTTTTTTTTTCTTTACAGGGCTACCAAAGGTCTAACCACTTCATAGCCACGCAAGGTAAGACCTTCATACCTACTACTTGGATATGGCTTTTTAGCATGCTTTCTCCTTTTTCCCCCCTTTCCAATTTTTTTTACATATATGGAAAGGAGGCAGCACAAGAAGATGTGCTGAATACCAAGATGTTCCCAAAATATTTCATGTTCAAGCTTTTTCAGTGCGTTAGAAAATATTCCAAAACTGCTTTGAGATTATATATTGGGTAAAATAAGCCGTGGTGATGCAGTGGTTAGAATATAGTATTGCGGGGAAACTCTGCCCACAGTAAGGAGTTCGATCCTGGCTGTCTCAAGGTTGACTCAGTCTTCCATTCTTCTGAGGTCAGTAAAATGAGGGTCCAAATTGTTGAGGGCCATATGCTGACATCAGAGAGTGTTGTAAAGCATTTGGTGTGGTATATAAGTCTAAGTGCTTGGAGTGGTGCGGTGGACTAGAGGCGGAGCTCTCGCCTCACAATCAGGAGGCTGTGAGTTCAATCCTAAATGGAGGCACACATTTTTCTCTCTGGGCACAATGAGAATATATTTGCTGAACAAAACTCCATACTGTTGACAGGAAGAGCATCTGGCCATTAAACATTCCTCTAGCTTCATTCAGTTGCCCAGACTCCACCCCGCAAGAGATTATGGGGTTGTTTAAAGATGATGATAAGTGCTATTGCTAAAATAGCCATGGTATTTAAATAAGTCCTTTATCTCTGTTTCAACCTTTTTGGGGGATTTTTCTCTGTGCTCTAGGCCCCAAACAGGAGATGGTCTATGATTTTTGGCGGATGGTGTGGCAGGAACACTGTTCCAGCATAGTGATGATAACAAAGCTGGTAGAAGTGGGAAGGGTAAGTGATGGTTCTTGGTTTCCTCTTCACCAAGTGGCTTCAGATGATGCTTACCTCCTCCACGACATACTTAACCATAATCTGGTTTATTATTGCATGCAGGTTAAGTGCGCCAAGTATTGGCCAGATGACTCAGAGATGTATGGAGACATTAAAATTACCCAGATGAAATCAGAGACTCTGGCAGAATACGTGGTGAGGACATTCGGCATGGAAAGGGTAAGATTTGCTAGGATACCCCTCTGTCTATAAACATGTTTTATTTTATCCATGTTAATATTTGGATGTTTATTTAATTTATGTATAGGTTGTCAAGATTCCAAATAGCATCCAAAATTAAATCAGAGTCCAAGGCAAAGTATTGCTCAAAGTTCCAATTTATTAAGAGAGTCATGTTGGCACAACTGGGAAAACCCGAATCTGAAAGCTTCCCGGTTTTCCCCACCCAGTTGAAAGTTCACAATCTTGCCCCCATACCCACAAGTCCATCATCTGGTCCAATCTTCCACTGCCATGCTGTCAGTTCCACCCATTCAGTTCTGGTCAGGTGCAGAGATGCAGAGACAAGGATGACCTTGGCTTTCTAGAAAGGATTTTTATTTTGGCTGCATAGCATTTAACTCCACACAATCCCCCCTCCCATTTTCCCACAGTAGAAAAGGCATAGTGGAATAATAGAAAGTGTGGCAGGCCAAAGATCCAAAAGGAATATGGCAGCAGGCCTGTCACAGGTCTTATGTGGACTATCTCATACTGTATGACTCCAGGCAGCACATAATAATGTACTACATCAGGACTACTTCTTCCTTCTCTTATTTTATTCAAAAACACCAGTTTTAAAAATGAAACAAGCCCTGAAGTATGCTTGGCAGTGGGTAATTAATCATTTTTTTTTAAAAAAAATAGCATTAGTTTGGTAGAGAATTTGGAGTTTGAATATAAGGGATATATGATTTATGTGACGATTGAATATATAATCATAAATATGACTCCAAGTTGGTGCCCCTAAATCAGTATTTCTCAATCTTAGTAATTTTTAAGATGTATGGACTTCATCTCCCAGAATTCCTGCAATTGTATATAGGAATGACCTCGGGAGATGGGTGAAGAGACTAAGGGAGCAGTCGAATAAAAAGCAGTATATTCTGCAGCAGGAATTTGGGTGGGACAGGTGGCTCAATGTTCTGACCTAGGCTTCCCAAAAGCACAAAGCCGACTCCTCGTCCCAATAAAACCCCTTTTATTTAGTGTAAAGGGAATTCCTCTCCAGCAAAGTCCCGCTAACAGTCTTTCAAGAGATTTCACAAATACAGACCTTTATCAGGCTTGGAGAGCTGCCAGGCCAATATCTTCCAAACGCCACTCTGTAGCAGACAATACTTGGCAAGTCAGGGACAGATCTTCACCCTAATGAATTGAACTAATTGTCTCCTGCAAACTCCACTCCCCTTTCGCTCCTCGTTATTCCCTTTGTGAGGGGCCATTCACCATCCACCTGTGGCCTTACACCCAAGTCGACCCTTGTTCCTTAGCTGTTCCCTTCTCCCGGCAGCTCTGTGCACACTGGGAACAGGCTCCAGTTGTTCTTCTGCCTCACTGATGTCAAACTCTGAAGGCAGCTGATAACTGTCAGACAGCCCTGGCCCCATCTCTGCCTCCAATGCAGAGCACTCGTCAGAGCCTTCCCCAGACTCCAGGATTGACCATGTTCCTCCCCAATCTCCCCACTGTCTGAATCTGCTGCCATATCCTCTGACTGCTGGCAGGCCACAACACTCAGAATAGACCCTCCCTAGTTTCTTGGGCTGTAAAAGCAATGGGTGGGGCTACTATCAAACTAGCAAGATTTTGCATAGGTAGGGAATTCTGGGAACTTATATATCTTAAAGTTGCAGAGGTTGAGAAACACTGCTTATAAAGAACTTAAGCCCATGATTATGGCTTGGCATAAATGGCAACTACATGACACTTGGATATTGCAACCTTGTAGATATACAGCAATAGCCAGAGCGCTTAGACATATATCGCTTTACAGTGCTTTACAACCCCCTCTAAGTGGTTTACAGAGTGAACCTATTTCCCCAACAACAATCTGAGTCCTCATTTTACTCACCTTGGAGAGCTGAGTCAACCTTGAGCCTGGTGAGATTCGAACTGCCAAATTGCAGGCAGCCGGGCAGGCAGCAGAAATAGCCTGCAGTACTGCACTCTAACCACGGCGCCACCACCGCTCATACCGTTAGTTTACTTAGCATAGTAGGCAAATTTTATGCCTGGTATATTGTACGTGGATAAAATTACAAGTAGAACAGAAAAGCATCTTAATAGACGAATAAGATTGTCAACACTCAGTCGGAGTTTGGTTCTAAGCCACCCAGTGAAAAAAGTAGAACTCCCTTCTTAAAAAAAAACACCCTGTATTTTTTTGTCTTTGTAGACTTCGAGTCAGCATTGCATCCATTCTCAAAAGAAAGAAATTGCAGGAGACAGGTGTTGATAATGCCTCTTTCCATTAATACACAATTTGTTTCCTGATATTGAATGTAATAGCCAAGGTTAGCTGTCAGGCAGGATCCCTAATTGAAAAGATGTCAAGCAAGGCTGCTTGTAAAACCCATCGTTGTTTAACACACCACACACAGAGACGTACATACATACATTCTTTATTTACAGATTTTGCCTCTTGCCAAACGATTATCACCTACGTTGTCTAGCAGGACAACTGCTCCCTAATTTTGCTTTTTTTTTTATTTCCCAGACATAAGTGGACTGAGGAGAAGGTTAAGGGCTCTGGTTTCCTATTGTACAGAAGATCCCCCGAATATGAACACGTCTAATATGAAGGATGTAGTTTTGGCCAAGGGACTGATTAAACACAGGTGCCAGATTAACAGGCAGGCAATACAAACGAAATGAACGAATAGAGCCAAGGGGATTGTTATAAGTTTTGGGAGAACTGTTTCATGCCTTAGGATTGTGGAATTTGATCATGGAATTGGAGACTTCCATACTGCTTCAGCGCTAAAAGTTTGTAATGCCATGGGCTTACTGCTGTTGCTGTATGGGGTTATGTTTATTAAAGAAGCTACAGCAGTGATGGCTAACCTTTTTGTTGTTGTGTGCCAAAAGGGCACGTATGACAGAGCGCATGCGCGCACCCATATCCATAATGCAATGCACATGTGACACCCCCGTGCCCCACTCCTGCACATGTATGCATAATTCCCCCCCCCTGCGCTCCCTCATTCCCTCGCACATGCATGCGAACCCCCATGCCCCGTTTTGAGCCTAGCAAGCCTCCCTGAAGCTTCCTGGGAGCAAAAACTATGCTCCCCCCACCCCCTGAGCATGCACATGTGATTCCCCTACCCCCACACATGCACACAGAGAACCGAAAATAAGCCAGCAGGAGGCATGCATTGGCAGAGCTGACCTGGAGTGATGGCTCACGTGCCCGCAGAGAGGGCACTGCGTCCCACCCGTGGCACATGTGCCATAGGTTTGCAATCATGGACCTAGAGGTTGTCAAAATATTTCTCTCAATGCTCTATTCTTTCCCAAAATGTGTTGCAAACACCATACTTCACTTGGAAGCAGCACAGGCCTCTGGGAGGCTATAGTCTAGATTATAGTGAGGTTTTTTTTATCCCCTTAAATTAATATTTTTTAGCAGGAAACCTAGCCGCGCTTATTTTTCTGTTCATATGGGTGGCTTCTTGCTCTGAATATATTGGTAAGATTTGATCTCTTCCCTAGTTGCTTAGCATATCTGGGATTTAGCAAGGCTAGAGAAATGGATTGTGTTTGTTGATTTGATAAGTAACGCAGCCAGTTACTATCAGATTCCATCTCTTTTCCTCTAGGATCTCAGTGATGATAAGCATACTACTTCCATTAGCTGGTTTTGATGCGTTGCTGATAGTAATGGAAGGGAGGCGTGTGTTTCCGAAACATACCAGTGAAAGGTTGCATCTTGGGTACTGATTAGAAGAGAATATTTGTAGTTCAAAGTTTAACTACAGGATCCTTTGTAGTCTCTGTGCTTGTTTTCTTGCAGGCATTTCATTGCCAAACTAGTTAATCAATGCATTGATGGTGTTATCTAGTTTGGTAATGAAACATCTGCAAGAACACAACCAAGATCAGAGACTACAGCTGTCCTAAGCGTGTTTGATCGAGGAGAACCCATAATCCACTTTTTTCTATGGGACTGGAAATAGACAGAGGACTTCTCTTACGGTACCTTGAGCTCTCAAAGTATGCTGGCAACTTTTATGTGTTTTATGCTGTTAGCAGAGAGACATATCCATCACACCTATAAGATTTGCTGTGTTTTGTGCTAAAGTGCGATCTTCAAAGACAACCAGATTGTCCGTTGCTGAATACAATCAGTGGTTTGCGATCGTTCTTCTCCTTTTTTTCCTTTGAATTCGTTTTTTAACTTTTATCCAGTCTATTTTATTTCCTGCCTTTTACATAGTGAATCTATACACTTTTGATAACACTAGTTTTGTGGCCGTAATAAAAAGAAATGAATGCGGTGTCAAAGGAACACGTTCTTTTCTTTCTTTCTTTCTTTTTTTTTCTTTTGGTGTATTCAAACTGTTGATTGGAGATCTTGCACCAGTCGTGTTCTTTCTCCAGACAGGGATCATTTAATTGTGGGCAAGCTGCCTTGACAAACCCTTCCCCTGGAAGGAAGGGCAAGAGCCAAAAGCTTTAATGTAAAGGATTGCAAGAAGGGAAGGTTTAATGTAAAATAGACAGACTGTTTTTGGTTCAGTGAACACATTTGGAGTTTTGAAAGGCGGCCGTCTCTATTCTTATAAAAGGGCTATCATAAGACCCTTTTTTTGTTCATAGAATGACTTCCATGGTTAAATGTAGCAAGTCATTGACTGTCCATTTACCAGGGTATCTCAGTCAAATGGTAGAAACATGGTAGACTTACCTGGAATTGGAAGCTAAGTAGGTCAGATCAGGAATGTCAGCGTTCCAAATATCATCCAGAATTAAATCAGAGTCCAAGGGAGAGCTGTCCTCAAAGTTCCAATTTAATAAGAGAGACATGTTGGCACATCTGTGGAAAACCCGAATCTGAAAGCTTCCTGGGTTTTCCACCCAGTTGAAAGTTCAAGACCTTGCCCCCACACCCACAAGTTCATCACATCCTCTGCCACGCTGACATTTCCACCCATCTAGTTCCATTCAGGTGCAGCGGAGACAAAGGATGACCTTGGGCTTCTAGAAAGGAATGTTTTATTTTGACCACAACACATTCTACAATTCTACTCCTTACTATTCCCCCTCCCAATTACCCCACTAAGGAAACAGCATAAAAATAATAGAGAGTGTGGCAGGCCAAAGATCCTAAAAAGAATATGATTTCAGGCCTGACAAGGATAATATTTGGGTAGCAAACCACTAAGAGACCACTGGAAAATTCCATGGCTGCCAAGAAAACATTCCTAGAAAAATTCAGCCCTCTGATACCTTGGTTGGCAGGGCAATCTTGACAACATTATGGGCCCCAGCCAAAGCAGTGTACTGGGGCCCCTACAATAACTACTCACAGGAATAAAAATGTAAATGGTCAATGAAATTAAACCTATATTTGCATGTTAGTAATTTTAAAAAGGCAGTAAAATGTAATAAATATGTTGCTGTATTTATATGATACAAGGGGCTGTTGGAAGAAATGTCTTTCTGGGTTCAGTTCCAAGTGGGGAAAAAGACACTGGAAACATGGAGGCTGCTTGGAACGATGGTTTTTAATGGTGGACAGGACCACGTGGCTTGAGTTCCTGAACAGAAAAGGGGGATCACATGCTTCCAGATGTTGGGTGAAGAAGAAAAAGAGCGAGAGATGCTGAAAGTTCCTGGTTTTATGCCCTCACTGGGCTTTGACCTTGAGCTTGTATTCAGACTCCCATGGGGCCATGCAGGGGCAGCTCTCTAGGTTGTGCTTTGAGTCCAAGTTTGGTTGCCTTTCTGGCTGATGTAATTTTCCCAGGGGCCTTGTGGTGAGTTTCTGTAGAAGGCTAATCCTGCCTTCTTTATGTAGAGTAGACTAGCTCAGGTTTTAATGGCTCATTGACAATAGTGAGTCTGTTTCCTACCTAAAACCATGTTTCCCCATTTCTTATCCAGGGAAATAAAATATTCTACCTTTTCAATATTTTCCAGGATATTTCATTTTTCTAGGAGAGGGGTGAGTTTTAACTTCCTACAGTGCATTGAAGGGTTGACATACACAGATTAGTATGGGGCCCCTATGCTTGTGGGGCCCATGGGCAAGTGCCCATCAGGCCCATGCATTTTGGTTAGGTCCATGGAGACTAGGAGTTAAGCTATTTACCGTACTTTTCGGAGTTAAGTCACACTCCCCCCTCCCCAAAAGAGGGTAGAAATGTTGGTGTGTCTTATACATGGAATGCGGCCATTTTTTGCCTCCCAAAACCCTGCCCACGGGTCCATTTTTGGCTAAAACGGAAGACGGTTTGTGAGGCCAGAAGAGACCTCCTGGGTCTGGACAGAGCAAAAACCAGACGCACAGAGGCCAAAAACTAATTTTTTTCTTTTTTTTCTCTTTGAAATCTTGGTGCGTTTTATACTCAAATGTGTTTTATAGTCTGAAAAAATATGGTAATCTTGGAAATCTTGCTTTTTTCAGGGTTTTTGTGATATCCCCGAGATCAGCAAGATGTATTCTTCCTGTTCACCGTCTCTTCGGGACGATTTAGGTCCGATTGAACCCCCCAGTGGCTAAAAGTACCGGCTGCAGTCTCAGAGCATCGAGACTGCACGTCTGTACCGTGAAGACATTCAATCTTGCAAATCTGAATTTAGTGACAAAATTCTCAGGTTACTTGCTACTGCTGTTCCTTCTTCCTTCTCGCCTTTACTCTTTCTTGTTGTTTCAGGTGTGTTAAGCCTTTCCCATGGCTTTAACTCCACTTTCTTCTCTTTTATACATCCCAAGATGGCGAATAATCTGGTGATGGTCTTGAGACTGTATCAGTGGTGGGATTCAAATAATTTACCAACCAGTTCTCTGCCCTAATGACCAGCTGGGTTGGCGGGGCTCGGTG